CCGCGAGTTGGCTAAACGTTTGGGTGACACCACAATCAATGCCTATTCACTACATCCCGGACTTGTAGACACTGAATGGTACCGACATATTGAGTCCCCTGTTGTCAAGTTTATCGCAAAAAATTTCATCAAAATGTTTGCCATGTCTGTCGAGAGGGGCACTCAGACCACCCTTTACTGCGCTCTCGAGGAATCACTGGACAGTGAATCCGGATTTTATTATGAGTTTGTGTTTCAATTGATTTTGTTTTATATATTTACTGATAGTTTGTTTGGTTTTGACAGAAATTGTTTACTCGTGGATAACATGTATGCGAACGCGACGGACGATAAAAGTGCGGAACTGTTGTGGCAATTGAGCGCAGATTTAGTCAAATTAGAGGATAAATATAAATTGTGAACATTTATTAAGTTATTTTTCTTATGCTAAAAAATGTAATTATATTTTCAAACATTTCTATTAACATTTAACAAACTTTTATACAATAGGAGGTGAAAAATAACCTTATTGTTAGAAACTAATATTATCTAAATAACTATTAAATTGTGAAAAATATTTAATAAAAGAGTTAAAATTTAATATTATTTTCTCATATGTTATCTGCAAAGAAATATTCAAATCTAAACACGTCTATAAATTATACACAATATATAGATTTTACATTTTCATACATAATAACAAAGTTATTAGAATATTTGTCTGGTTTGTTTTTCGCCTATCGCCTAGCAATCAAATAATCTACATAACATTTTAGATGTTTTCTTATAATATCTATATTCAATTATAAATGTTTATACAATTAAGACATGCGCTATAAAAGTTGATTTAGATAACAGGTGTACAATTATTACACAAATATACTAAGTTACAAAGTTGAGATATTGATAAAATATTGTAAAATACTTTATAATTTGTGAAAATAATTAGTTTACTGACTCTAGTTTATAAAACTCTTATATTTTTCAAATTTTCAAATGCAACATAAAAGATATAAAATTATAAACTTTAAATATACAGCAAACTAAAGAATTTACCGGAACAAATTCTTTAATTTATAAATCAGTATAATTTACTATTACATTATATATAAATAAACATGTCTGTCCCGATATTACAACGAATTTCATTTATATTGTCATCGTTTTGTGAATTATTTCGAAATAGTTTTGGTTTCAGTAATGTTTGTCAGAGTAATAGACGATTGGATGGACAGGTAGTGATCATAACCGGTGCCAACACTGGTATCGGCAAAGAGACTGCATATCAGTTGACATTACGTGGCGCTAAAGTATGTAATAATGCTATTGTACTGTATTTACTGACATTTATTTTGCTATTTTATATTTATTAACATATTTTTAGGTAATCATTGGCTGTAGGGATGAGTTGAGGGCAGAGAATGCCATCAAAGAGATTGTGTCGAGGAATCCAAACGCAAACATAATTCACATTAAACTCGATTTGTCTTCTCTTCAGTCGATTCGGGCATTCGTTCAACAAATCTATGAAAACGAGACGAAAATTGATATTCTTGTGAATAATGCCGGCGTTTGTCTCATACCTGAGTCCACCACTGAAGATGGCTTTGAGATGACTTTCGGGACAAACCATTTGGGTATTTATTACTATTTATATTATCATAATTAAAAATTGATATTCTTGTGAATAATGCCGGCGTTTGTCTCATACCTGAGTCCACCACTGAAGATGGCTTTGAGATGACTTTCGGGACAAACCATTTGGGTATTTATTACTATTTATATTATCATAATTAAAATTCTTGAAAACTTTAATTTTAATTAATTAAATATAATTGATGTATCTTTAGGACACTATCTCTTAACACTTCAATTACTACCACTAATAAGCCGCGCACCGAAGGGTCGGGTTATCACTGTTTCGTCGGCATTGCATGCATTGGGAAGCATTCACTTCGAGAACATACACCTCCGTAACGGCGCTTACGATCCTCGGAAGGCCTACTCTCAGAGCAAATTAGCCAATATTTTATTCACCAGAGAACTGGCTAAACGTTTGCCATCAAAATCTGCAATCAATGTCTATGCACTTCATCCCGGAATTGTCAAAACAGATGCCGCGAGATATATGACTGGTATTCAGAAACATATGTTAAAAATATTTCAAATCCTATTCCTCAACGTCGAGAGGGGCTCTCAGACCACACTTTACTGCGCTCTCGAAGAATCACTGGACAACGAATCCGGTTATTATTATGAGTCTGTTTTTATTTGATTTTATTTTATATATTTACTGATAGTTTGTTTGGTTTTGACAGCAATTGTTTACTCGTGGATAACATGTATGCGAACGCGACGGACGATAAAAGTGCGGAACTGTTGTGGGAATTGAGCGCAGATTTGGTTCAATTGGAGGATAAATACAGACTTACAAAGAGATATTAATTCTGTTAATATATGTAAATATAATTTATTTTTAAAATTATTGTGAATTTGGCGTTTATTTATAAAACTTTTGTTTTCGTATGCATTAAATAAATTGCTATTTTTCAAGTCTTAACCTTGGATTTAATAATCATACTGTTAAATATAAAAGATTAAAAGTATGCGACATTAAAGTTTTACACTGAATAAGTCCAAATAAGCAATGATAATATGAGTACTGTAATAGGTTTCGGGTCAGAGACCCCGAAACACGAAAATAAATCACGAGATAATCCCTTAATAGATAACTACAGCAGTGGACAGTTAAGGGATTGTCCCGTAATTTAGTTGCGTGTTTCGGGGTCTCTGTTTCGGGTTATAAACATTTCGTCCGCTTTCTATGCATTGGGAAGCATTCACTTCGAGAACATACACCTCCGTAACGGCGCTTATAATCCCTCGGAGGCCTACTTTCAGAGCAAATTAGCTAACGTTTTGTTCACCAGAGAACTGGCTAAACGTTTGCCACAAAAATCCTCAGTCAATGTCTATGCACTACATCCCGGAGCTGTCAAAACAGACGTCGCCCGCTCTATGACTGGTGACCATTCAGTATGTAATGAATATTTTCCAAATCTTGAGATGGGATGTCAGACCACCTTTTACTGCACTCTCGAGGAATCACTGGATAGCCAATCCGGATTTTATTATGAGTTTGTACTTTATTTGATATTTTCTGAATTAAATTCATTAGTTTTTAAACTCAACAGCAACAATTATTGTTTACGAATGGATTATATGTATGCGAACGCAACGGATGATAAAAGTGCCTAAAAGTTATGGGAATTGAGTGAAGATTTGGTTAAACTGGAGAAGAAGTACAAACTTTCAAAGCATACCTTTCCATCAAATTAAATCAACAATAACTATTGTTTCGTATTACTTTTTATATTATTTAAAAATAATTTCTGTAATATTGTTTAACTACAGTATAAATGATATTTTTGTATTAATAATAAAACTAATTACTAGTAAAATCGAATGGAATACTTAACTATAATTAGATTAAACACTGAATAAAATATTTGAGAATTTATAGCAAAGAATTTTAAGTTTTTAAAAGCAATCTAGCTATATCTGTTATCTAGCTGGTTATGTTATTGTAACTTACTACTGTATACAGTATAATAGTATTTCTGACATAACTTTGTGAATAAAAATTTGTTGAATGATAATAAATACTAGATCATTTATTTTAAAACCAATTTATAAGTCAAATTCCGCGTGAAACTAACTTTATTTGTGATTTGCACTAAACTATGGGTGCATTCAATGTCAACTAATGATATGATTTGTATGAACAGCGCATGAGTTTGGGTGCTTTGGCACTAAAAATTCAAATCATTTATAAAGCGCTAGCATTTCAATAATTTAGCATTAATCACTGTGATCCTGGTGCTATAAAATCTAATTTAAATAATCAGATTAAATAATATACAATGACTTTGACGATAACACAAGGCTTAAGATTTTCATACGAAACGTTTGCTGAAGTTTTACAGAATATATTTGGATTCAGGAAAAATTGTTTGAGTCGAAAGCGATTGGATGGACGGGTAGTTATAATTACCGGCGCCAACGCCGGCATTGGCAAAGAGACGGCATATCAACTATCACTTCGTGGAGCAAAGGTATGAATTTAACTTAATTTATTGTTTATTATTTGCATTATTAGACAAATGGTTTCATTTCTTAGATAATCATTGGCTGTAGGGATGAGTTGAGGGCAGAGAATGCCATCAAAGAGATTGTGTCGAGGAATCCAAACGCAAATATAATTCACATTAAACTCGATTTGTCTTCTCTTCAGTCGATTCGCGCATTCGTTCAACAAATCTATGAAAACGAGACGAAAATTGATATTCTTGTGAATAACGCAGGAATTGCTTTCATACCGGAGTT